CACTGCTCTCCATTTCGCCAGCACTCCAAGGAAGTGCGGAAATTGAATTCTAAAATATTTATAGCCCTCCTTTTGGCACACTTTCGGGGGCCGAGAAGTGATTTATGCAGTGCTCAGCAGCAAATTGCGAATGAAACGCAATGAAACGAATCGAAACGGAATGAATTACTACTTATGCATGCATGTTCGCCACATAAACACACATCCATCCGCCAAATATACATATATATGGATACTGGTCTAGTCCCATCAAATCGGAGTCCCACTTATTAGTCTGGCTGGACACATGTTACACAATGCTGAGCCATAGATTTATGGCCGGCAATCATCGGGATTTGCAGCAGGACCAAGCGAGGACACGAAGGACATGGAGCAACTGCTGCCCTGACATTGACTATTGAAAGTCAATTTCGGGTGCGTGCCACACGCTCATTTGTCCAGTTTATGGCCAACATCATTTGTTTTGGCATTTTTGCCAATGAGGCGCAAACGCCTTTTATGCGTTCCAATAAATTCTCGCTTCCGGCATCCACATCCTGCCCCTCCGTGTCCCTAATACCTGTTTATTGTTGCAGTTTCGTGGGCGCCGTGTTTACAAGGATGCTGATGCTGCATTACAAATGAGTTTGGCCCATTTCAAAGTTGAAAGTTTAATTTGCTGCCTAGCTGGGCAATTTAACTGCCAGGGGTCAGTGTTGCATGGCCGGCTTAAGTTCACATGTCCTGGGAATTTTCTATTAAGTACTTTAAAGAGGGTTTTGCATTCAAGAATTAATCACCACTTTTAGGTACTTGCAAATTAATCAGGTGAATAATTATTGAAATTTATGACGAGGTAAATATCTTTAGCACGCCCCAAGGAGTAAAGACCTTTCAATAATGAGAAAACTAAATGCCTTAAGCATTTTCAGCTATTCAGATTTAAATACCACGCAATTATTTCAATATTTCTTATGCCTTTCAGTATACAAAAATCAATAAGTAACTTTAACCAGTTTAACCTTCAGAAGCGAAATAATATTTTATGTCTATTTTCCAGTCACTCTTTCGGTTTTGGCCTCATGAAAATTTATGAACTGTGCCATTTTACAATACTCTATTAAGTGCTGCCAAGCCAACAGAAACAGAAAGCCGAAAAGGGTGGACCAAATAATCAAATTGCAGTTTCCAGCTGTCACATACTCACAATCCTGCCCCCCGTTTTCGCATTCATGTTTTTGGTTATTTTGGGAGGACCGGCAAAAACAGAGCTTGGAAAAAATCTGTTAGAAATCCTATTTATATTTCGAAACAATAACCATTCAATTCCATCTAACGACTAGGGCGCTGGCCACCGGCGAGCATAACGAACCAATTGAGCTGGCCACGACCCTCGGGTGGGGGGGTGGTTGTCCCAATGGGAAGGGGGAGGGCGGAGTAACGTGGGCGTGGCATTTATTAGCAATTGCTATGGCGGCGCCTTCAGTGAAAAATTCGCCCTGCCTTTAAAGCGGAAGCATTCGCAATGGCCGCCCAGGATATGGGCGGTAGGAAGACCAACAGGACACCACAGGCGCGACGACACAAACAAAACGTGATTCGCATACAAATAAACAAGGATATGGAGGATTCGCAGTCACCCAGCCACCCAGCCACCCAACCACCCACAACCACCCACACAAGCACACATGACCCCTGGGGGCCTCGGAATTGAAACAAATGCCACAGTGCAGGGCGTGCCTATAAATTTTTCACCAAACACATTGGCCAAAGGTGCAACTGCAACTGCAACTGCAATGTTCGGGTGGTGCAGTGGGTGGGTGACCTGCACCACCATGGTGGGTGTGGTCCGGGGCTTAAAAGGTCCGTGAAATGGCCAACTGGGGCATTGTTTAGGGCCGTTGTTCAACTGCCCGCACACGGACAACATTTGAATGCAAAGCAGGCCCTGCCGGCGGTTGATGTCACTCCTCAATCGAACACTCAAAAAAAATGGGTATACATTTTGAGATTTTGTAGAGCTTATAAGGCTTTCAAATAAATATAACATATAATATATAATTTGCAACCAATTCAAGCGAGCGATATATAATTAATTTGAAATACCATTCCCATTTTATGTACAAGCAATCCTAAAGAAATAAATAAAACTCTATCTATTATAAATAAATAATAATTATTTATACCTTTGTATATAAAGTAGATTCTAGTGAAAAATTTGTACCCAAAAAGAAAACATATACATCTATTTAAATGAGTTCTTGAGTATTATCAAAGTAGACCAGGAGCTTCTTGAGATAGATATAGATACAGAAACTGCCAATAAATTATATTCAGTTGAACTTCTTTAAATAGTTTTAATTGATATACGCATACCCAACTGATTGAATACTAAATAACCAAAAAATTATAAAATAAATTTCATAAAATAACAGGGAATTGAAGAAAGTTGCACTTTAATCGTAGTGGATTCTGTGAACAATCTTACAAGACTACATTTTCTTTGCCTGCATCACCTACCAATGTGACCCTGGAAGAAAAGCTGCTTAGCTACCGCCTGTCAATGGCAATTACGTCCGGATGCAGAGTTCAAGTGGCTGCACAAATCACGGCGCGAAATGAAGAGTCAACTATCAACCTCAGCCTGCCAGACTGCACGTCGAGTTAGAGCTTGATGCATGTGCAACGATTTCGGCTGGAGTACATGCTGATCATTTGTCCAGGGAGCTGGAGCTGGAGCAATCCTCTTCCCCGGAAAATCCCCAAGCCCAGGCGTGTGACGAGGATTTTGGCAAATAGTTTTGCCAACTGCTCACCTTCATGGCAAATCCCTGGGAACGGGCTGCCAAGGAATTCCATCAGCTGATCGATTAGTCGTTGCCGGCGAAGCAAATACTTTCACCAGGGGAATGGAATGCCTGTCAGTGGCATGTGGATGTGGATGAGGATGTGGATGTGGCCAGTATGGCAATGGCACCCCCATGTCACGTTTTATGGCTGCCAGTGCGAGTTTATCTTTGGCCGACAGCGTCAACGTCTGTTGCGAGTCAACGGTCCCTGGCTCCCATGTCCTTGGCCATTTTGTTGCAATTTTTATGTGCTTTTATGCACTTGAGTTGGCACATCCTTCGTCCTGCCTCTTCTGTCATACGCCCACCTTCGACACTTGGCCATCTTGCTGCTGTCTTGCCACTTGGAAAAAATGTCTCCCTCGCTAAATTGAGCAGTATTTTTCCACCGAACCCTCAATTCAATTTAGAAAAAAAAATTCAGATTTTCCGGAGTCTTTTCGTTTGAAGTGTGACAGAGCATTTAGCCTCATTAGAAGCTACAACTTCCCAGCAATAAAAGTTAAGTAAATTTAATCAGGCAATCATATGTAAATATTTGAACTTTAGGCTTTTGGCTCTAATGAAGCATTCAGCCAAAGCCGGAAAATGTGCCACAGTGCGGGGATAATCACTGCATATGAATTAAAAAGTTTTCGGGGGGCGAATGCGAAAATATTTTGTAGTTTAAAGCAATTTGAAGTCATTTGTAGCCAATTTGCAGAATGTCTGTGCGCGTGAGTGTGTGTATGTGTGTGTGTGTGTGTGCCAATGCAATTACAGTTGCTCACTCAAACACACACATTTGTTTGGCAATGCGCTCAGCCATTCCGACGTTTCGTCGTCACTCGTCCTGTTTTTTTTTTGGTTTTTTTCAGCTTTTCCTTTTTTTCCAACTGCAAATGAGTCATGCTAATGGCAAACCATTAGCAAAAATGCCACTGTATGGGTGAGGGTGATAATTAAGTTGTGTGCATGTGTGAGTTGGTGTTTCAGAGAGAAATGTGATTTTGAAGGCTGTTGTTAAATATTTAAATGTATTCCATGGGCGAAAGCCATTCTCTTTGTTGCCAACAGCAGCATTTGCGCTTACGCCAAAGTCTAATTGCAACCTAAGCTCAAAATAAAATTGCTTAAATTGCACACAAAGGGGAATCTTTCAAGGTGCCCACCAACTGGGTTAAACGTTTAGCTAGCCTTGAAAGAATTTCATTTCTATTATCACGGCAAGAATTCATAACTTTCGCTTTATCGAAAAAAGTTATGGCAAACTTATTCATTTTCAAACAAAATTATGTAGTTATTTAATGCTAATATATTAAGGTCCTAAAAAATCGATATTTGAGATTATTTTTTCATTTCTAAAAGTTGCAAACTAAACTAACAAATGTTTTTTGGCTCTTGTCTGCAAGGTATATAAAATTAATTATGCAGGACTCTTTTAAAAATAATGGTCTCAATAGCAATTTTATTCCAACTCATGTTATATATGAACAAAAAATAATAATGTTCTCTATTTTTTATCGCCGAAGTGATTATTATAATGAATTAAACTCAGTCCTAGCCAAGTACCACAAGCCAAACATTGTGCATTACTTAGTAAAATTGGATTGTGGGTATTACTCATTTAAGTGGTAAAACTTAAACCCGCAATGACAGGCCACAAAACAGAGACTTGATATTTCATTTTCATTTACCTTTAATTGGGCTAATCAACCCGCTAATTGCGCGCGCTATTAGCCGACGAGGCAAACCAAACTAAAGTGGTTGCGACAGGCAGATATTTTATTGTTATACGTTCGCGCCGCAAAGCACTTCAAAATTGCACTTTAATGACTAATTTAGACACACATGTACGTGTATATGCATGTGTGCGAGGACAGGACATAAAAGGACGTTCAGTGGCAGGACGTGAGTGCTGGCGGAAATGGAAGTGAACACTTGAGCAATGGCGATACGACATTTCCTTAATGAAGGCGAGGGGCATAAAAGTTTATGGACCTCCGACTCGGCTCATTTGGCTGCATATGCACTAAACGGGGCCAAACGGGGCGTATGTGTAATTATAACAAGTTCGCACTTTTGACAGCGCACCATTTTGTGCACTTGTCAGCTTTTTGTCACGTCTCCCCCAGTACCGTCAAAGTCTGCAGGAGTTCGCAGGAGTTCTGTATCTCAGTTCTGGACACTCACCTGACACCAGCAGCTCACTGGTGCTGTTGACCAAATTGTCCATAATTGGCTGGAATGTGTAGAACGTCAGCGTTTCCAATTTGTTTGCCTGCACATTGATGGACAGCAGGGCGGGGGTGCCCCGCAGCAGACCGTTGTCGATCTTCTTCAGCAGGTTGTTTCGCAAATTCAATGTTTTCAGTGTATTCAGACCATCCAGGGCACGTTCCGAAATTCGCTGAAATGGGTTAAAAAGATTAGTTTTTAGTTTGTTCTTAAATTTGATTAAACAGCTTCCTTTTTGTTTTTTTTTTTTTGCTTTCGGGGTGCAAAATGTTATTCTCACAACGACCGAATATAACATACAAAAACTGAAAAATATTTTCGTGCTGCCATTTTTCCGCATTTTTGCGTGTTATTTTCATTGTTTTTCACAGAGTTTCGCTTTTCGTGTGCCATTGTTGTTGTCATTGTCTTCATTGTTTGTTTGCGAATTTATTTATGTGTATGTATTTGCCACACATACAAGCACAATCACACCCCTACATTTATATATATATGTGAGCTCTTGTTTTTTTAACTTGTACGTCCCAATTCGTTTGTCTTGAATTTTATTATACGGAAAAAGTGTTTTCTTTTATTTTATTTCTGGTTTCTGCTTTCTGTTTTGTTGACTGAACAACGAAAGTGAAGGCGGTGTATTCCACCATTATTTAATATTCAATATGCTTTGTCTGGGGAAATGGAAAAATTATGCATATTAAATGACGCGACCAAGGCGGAGGAAGCATGTGAAAAAGTTCCTGCTTCGGTGATATGGCATTGAAAAATATCCCAAGCTCATGTTGCCAGCAATCTTTTCATGTTTGTTTATTTGCCCAGATGATTGACATAAAAAATATTTATTTTATTGTGATATTTTGTTAGTTTGATGGGCGATCGTTCGATGCCTACACGACCAATTTATTAGCTTGACAACAGCGAAAAAATATAATTTACGAGCGATTTATGTGCGGATTGAGTAAACAAAGTTATGACAACGCGATTAATGGGTGGGCAGGGACGCGGTGGGAGGCTGTTAAGGATTGCTGTGCTACACTCATAAATTTTCTTTAAAATTTCGCCAGCAGAAAAGATGAAGAATTAATTTTCCTGACTGTTAAAGAATTTTCTTGCTCAACATGCGAAAAATTTAAATAAGATATATAACAATATTTTTAGGAAAATACTGCCTAAGCTACATGGTTCGTTTTTTAAGTCAATATTCCTAAGTACTAAAAAAACAACTCAACATAAATTTCTTTGACATCCCTCTTCACTTTTCAGCTACACATTGGCTACTTTCCGGCATTCTTATGTCGTTACGTTTCTTAGTCCAGTAATGGCTTTGCTAACTATTTTAATCTACAAAGCAGAGTGAAAGCTGCTTAAAGCTGTTAATTTCTCCTACACTTTCCCCTTAATGCACTCGGCTGGCCCCTTAGCCCCTTAACCCGATTATCTGTTTATCTTCATCCCTGGACCCGCACACACACACACACATGCAGCGTTTTATGTTGTGTCAGACCTGAACCTTTCAACGGCAAATGATTTATGAAGTGAGCAAAAAAAATAAAAAGGGAAAGCTGAGGGGTGTGAAGCCCAAGCCCCAGTCCAAGCCAAACATGCAACACAATTTGCTTTTATATCGAAGGCGACAACGGCACACGGAGACCCAAGCAAGTCGCTTAGAAAGGGAATTTTTTCGGTCCAGGTCCTGGGAAATCCCGGAATCCGGTGCTGGAAACAATGCGCAACGTGGGTGATAACAGGCCCAATCATTATGGCTATGACAATGCGACGGATCCAGAACAGGACCCCACTTGAGCGGCTGCTCTCGAGTGTCCTGTCCTAGTGGCCTGACACATATGCGAGTCGTCTGAGTGTGACATGATATGCGAGCACTTTGTAAAATGGGAAAAACGAAGGAGCAGCCAAGGAGTGAGGCAGGCAGGAAGGAACAATGTTGGCCCAGGATATGGATATTCAGGATTTACGCTCATACGGCTGCCTTACATAACTTCTACAGCGCTCCACGTCGAGTGTTAAGCGACATTTTTCTATTTACCCACACACGCTGGCCATTTTTATGGCCGCCAGGACACAGAAGGGTCCTCGTTCCCGTGGCCGTTGCCGTTGCCATTCCCGCATATCAGATGGCAGAAGAAGGGAGCGCCATAAATCCATTATTCCCATGATTTGTTATTCAATATTTTGTAAGTAGATTAACTTGCGGCGCACATTTGTTTGCCACAAAGCGCCGAAAGGCGACTGTCAGCGTGCGGTCCGCTCTGGAGGGTAAATGTGCGAATTAAGCCAGGACCCAGGATCCCAAACAGGACCTTGTCCACACCAAAAACGTAGAAAACATAATTTACCAATCTATTTATCATATTTGCACCCAACCCCCCCACCACCAAACGGGCAAACGGTCCACCGATGCTGAGTGACCACTTAAATCACCACAAGAATAGACATTCGAATTGAATTTATGACACCAGCAAAAAGTTGCTTGGGTGTGTGTGTGTGTGTTTTTGTGTGTCTCTGCCCCAAGGATGTGCCATTTATGGCCCCGACCACCTTCTTCTTTCCCTTCTGTTTCTTATGGCCACTCGGCAATTTATGGCCTCTTAAGTCAGCTGCTCTAAGTTGACCAAGTGGCCGAGGCAGACAAATCTTTTTAATCCACTTGCATTAGAGTTGATTGAGAAGTTTGGTTCTCGTAGATTGCATTGCCCTATAGAGGTGTGCTATAAATAAAAGCAGTCAAACAACTATTCCGAGTGCTATAAATGCGCACTTGAAAAACTCAATCAATCTGAGAATTAATGTTTTATCTTAAATTGGTTTTTGCTGGGGAAATTACAGAAAAGTTATTACCTTGAGAAATTTATTATGTCAGAGCTGATTGTTTTTCCCATATAAGTCCTTTCAGCTTAATTATTTTACCTGATTTATATCTTGGCTATATATTATTTTCAATTATAGACTGTAGAAACTAGTTATCCCAAAGCTCTTTTAAATGTTTTTGCATTTTTTTGCCCCAAAAAGTATGCTATGTTTTCATATAATACTTTTTTAAAATAAAAACTCACCTCAATGCGGTTATCATCCAGTTCCAGTTCACTCAGACTCCACAATTCCGCAAACACAGTATCGCCAATAAAGTTCAGATTGTTGCGGGTCAATTTCAGCACATTCAGGTTACCCAATCCTCGGAAAATCTCGCTGGTCAGTACATTTATTTGATTGTGGGCCAAATTCAGGTAAGTGAGCCTGGCCATATCAGCGAATAGGCCCTCATGAAGAGTGCTAATGTTATTGTTGTTCAGGAAAAGCTTTTCGCAGAGTGGCAAATTACGGAATGCATAGCGGTCCATCTCGAAGATCTGATTGTGGTCCAGGCTCAAGTCCCTCAGCCTGATGTGATTGGCAAAGGCATCCTGATCCAGGGCCATAATGTGGTTGTTATTCAGGATAATCTTCTCCAAGAAGGGCAGATTGGCGAAGGCATAGCTCTTGACAATCTCCACCTGCGAGTACTCAATCACAATGCTGCTCAGGTTCTTCAGCGGCTCGATAATCATGGTGGGTATATAGTCCAATCGGGCATTGTTTTGGATCACGAACTTCAGCTCCCGCAAACGCTTCTGCTGGTAGAATCGCGTCCAGGTGGTGTCATTCTGATGCAATCCCTCCGAGAAAACCCAGCACTCGGCCTTCTGCACTGGCACATGATTCTCATCCGGGGTACAGTAGCACATCAGTTTCATGTCCCGCCGTCGGGTGCAGAATCCAGTGCTGTCCATGGGTCCACTGTAGCCAGTGCTGCCGGAATTCAGGGCACTACTGCTGGTCAAAACATAGCCGGAGGAGGAACTGGCTGACGACGATGAGCCACCGTAGTAGTTGCCGTTGTTGTTGCTGATGCTGCTGCTGCCGGAGGAGGATGCCAGCGAACCGCTGCTGCTGCCACGCCCCCTATTGCGACGGTCCTCCTTGGCACGCCCTTCGATGGGCGCCACCAGGCAGCCGCCAATTAGCAGGAACGACAGGATCAGGAAGCAGATGGCGTTGTTCGCCGAGGCCGCCATTTTATGGCGCTGATGATGCGGCAACATTGCGAGCGACTTCCTATCGCTGGGCGGCAAGGATTCTGCAAAATACAGGGAACAAAGCGGAATGACGCGGTCAATAAAATTGTTTTATCTCACACAGGCTATGGGTTATAGCACTTAAAAAAATTCAAATAAAATTAATTTTATGTTAAAAGTTAGGATAGGTAATAGGCATTTTATTTTGGGTTGAAAACTCAATACCTCTTTTTTGAAAAGGAATAAATACCCTTCAATTTAAGCTTATACAACTTTTCAAATATTTTATTATTTTTTCCTTTACTGTATAAGTATGTAAAGAAAAAACAATCTCAACTTTTAATATACTAGTAAATAATACAATATATATAATATAATGTGAATAAAACTCTATTCCTATTTAACGTATTAAGTTTTTAAATTATAAATAAAATGTATCAACTTATATCAACAATAGAAAAGCCTCAAACCTTACTTAAATATATTTTTCTTGACCTAAAGACAATTATTTTTGGAGTGTAGCAGTCATAAAAGGCAGGCAAGGTGGAAATGACTCTAACGAAAAAATTCGATTTTCATGGTCTTGATTTTGCGTTTCAAAACATCGAAAAATATACTTGTGCAAACAAATGGGTTTGATTTTTTGTGGCCCTGTCATAAACTCAGTCTTATTTTGAGGTGGCGAAAAATTGAAACTGGAATCAGAGTTGATAGGCATTCATTCGGGTCTATTTGCCCACTCTTTGGCTTTATTGCTCTTGAAAGTGCTTCATAAAAATGCTAATTAATGTTGTTAACTTTCTCACTTTTGCTCATATTTCATTTGGCCCAATTCACGAGATTCCGCGGTGGATTCATCCCAGTCTTCCCCTTTAACCCCCCTGAAAGTTGAATTGGCCCCGTTACGAAGCCTCCTGCTGACTTCATTTGACGCTCGGTTGCTTTGTCACTTGGCCCTTCCACTTCCTGCCCTTGGGTTTTCCATTTTACCCCCATAAACAAATTTATCGAGCTCATAAATAACTGCAACTCTGTCGCTGATTGTTCCCTCAACGAGAACGGCTTCACTTTTGCCTGCCCTCCCCTTAATTTTGCATTTCAAGTGTCATTGGGCAAAGTGCTCTCTAATTATGCTCGTATTTTTTAATAAATTAATAAGTCACACTGGCACTGGGCATATTTCGGATTTTGCCTCTTGACTGCCGGGTTGGATGGCATAACGAAGTGTAAATAAGTTATTGTCAGTTGTCAAGTGAGTTATCGTCGTTATCGGCAGTCAGCCCAGTGATTTGCATAAAATATTGTCGCAATAACAGAGAAAGGGAAGAAAATCGGGGGGATTAGACGGATGGAAAGCCGAAAGTCACTTGAGTTATTGACTCGGGCATGCTTCATTACATTGATTTCGATTATAAATTTTAAATAAAACGATGATAAGTGCTGCGTAGCATGATGCGATGCTTATGCCGGCTTAGCTGCCTCTCTTTACTCCTCGTTCTGGCCAAAGTTCAGGGCTCAAGGGGCATTAGAAGTGGCTCACACCGCAGGATTAAGTACTCAAAATATACATGAAAACTTTTGCGCAGCCAGCTGACGACGGCAGCTGAAGATGACTTGATGGCTTCAATTTAAATATCAAAGCAAAGTCGAAACTAAAATGTCCTCAGAATATACACACACACTCTTGAGGAGAGCGAACCACAGTGTATATGGCTGGATGATATTTCTGGGGTGGCTGGGGATATATTTTACATATTGTGGGAATTTTTAAGTGTGTCGTGAAGCAGCAAATCAAAAAATACACTGCATGTGTGCGTAATTAGATTTTCCCAGAAGAGGAGAAAAAAGAAGAGGGCAATTCATACACACACTGTCGTTTTTTACACAGAAAAAAAAATGCAACTTGTTAATCAATATAAAATCCAGTCGACAAATGGTTGTAAAATGTATAAAAATGTAAAAAGGTTAAATTCCCAGTATTTTTTGTACTTTTTCATTAAACAAAATATCTGTTTTTAATTTACATCTCTTCGTAGATATAGCTCTTATAGATATTACTAGATTTTTTCTCTGCACACATGCAGCAATGCGTCGCTGACAGCCAATTACTCAAAGGGCTGAATAAAGGCCAAAAGGGAAAGGGAAGGGGAGAAAAGCTGAAAGAGAGCGTTACAAGCAAATGAAAAATCAATTTGTTGATTATGCATAAATCATAAGATTTATGCGACTCCTCACTCAGCATTCATGAGTCATTTATCAAACGAGCAAACTTCTCTTTTGCCTTCATGTCAGAATCACAAAAACAGAAAGCGACGAAGCGAATCGCAAATCGAAGTGGCAATGTGGGGCAAAAAAGCATCAACAGTGTAAGAACAGGCGAGATATTTCATTCATCTTGTGTTGAGCTAAATAAAATATGAACAGCCGATAACCGAGTCTAGACGGAGTAGCTTTCTAAGCTATATATACACTGTATGTATAAAGATGGCATCTTTGCACGAGATTAAATGCAAGCTGCGTACAAATTGATCTCCCTGGCTTAAGTTCTTCATCTCGGAGAGTAAGCAAACACCAGCAACAGCAAACCTTGACGACAAACAATTACCAAGAAAATTATTCCCCCAGGGAAAATGGGAGCAACAGCAGCAGCAACGTTGGTCCTTGTCAGCAGCAACACTACACAGGCAAAACAGCAGCAACTATAATATTGTTGGCAGCAGAAACAGCAGGGATAATGGGGATGCAGCAATCTCATGGCCAAATTAAAGACGGCATCTTTAACAGGGACAATCACGACAGCAGCAACATCCAGCAGCAACATGGGCAGCAGCAATCACAAAAGGTTGAGCTAATGTTGCCGTTGTAGAAGCAACAAAAGGTGAATTGACAAAAGCGAAATTAAGGGTATGCTAACATTAGCAGCAACAAGACCCAAATGCTGATCAGCAGCAACATTCGTTTTTTTGGTAAGAGTAGCAAAATTAGCAATACGAACCAAAGCAATTTAAGTTAACACCATAAGCACAGAAGCAACAACATCTGAAATTTTAATAGTGCAAGTATAGACAATATTATATTTGGAATGAAAACAACAGTCGCAACATTAATTGCTAAGGTAAAAGGTTAAGCAACATAAGCAATAGCAACAAAGACTACAGCAGCAACATTATCTCGCCAAGTAACAGTAGCAATATAAGCCACAACAGCAGCAACTAATGCCAAAAACATAAGAGCAACAACATTAAAACTTTCACGAACATGGGCAACAGTAATAGTTGCTGGAAAATCAGCAACATCAACGAAAGTAAGAGCCAGAACAGCGGCAACTTTAAGGAAAGCAAGAGCAGCAATTGCAATAATAACATGACCAGCAACATTTGCAGCAGCAACAGCAACAGGAGCAGCAACTACAACAGTTACAGGAGCAACAATGATGGCAAGCCAGGATACGGGTTTCTGTAATGTTTCGCCCCTCGCAAATGGATGGTGGGTGGGGAGGGGAGGGGAGGAAAATTGCAACAAGAAGCAATTTGTCTTGTTGTTTATAATTTCGATTAAACTTTCGAAGCGAGGAACGCATATGTTTGTGTGTGCTCGGGAGTCGTCGGCTGGTTTGCTGGTGTGCGTGCAAACAATGGGCCATGCAAAGGGAGCGAGTCCTCGCCGGGGGAAAAGGCGTGTGAAAGTGTGACAGAAGTGTCGACAAAGAGCAGCAGCAGTAGCAGCAGCAACAACAGCAGCAGCAGCAACATCAACCGCAGCAACAACAATGACGACGGCGACCCAGTGGGAAATTGGAGCAAAGCCGCAGCTAAGCTGACAGCCACGCAAGCAATTTCCCAGGGAGACCGGGCAAACACAACAACTCGGCTGAAGATAATATTTTCCAGCGATGGAAATTCTTAGCTTTAAAAAGGCGGCCCTACCAAGATGGCTCGGCTCGAACTCGACTCGTTATGGCCTTGTTTGCCGTATCGAGAAACTTTAGACAAACACACACACACACCAAGTCTGAGGTTGATCAAGACAAAAGCCCAGAGTCGGGATTCTGGCTATGTGGAAATTGTTTTCAATTTTCGTTATTTGACAAATGGTGACACTTCCGCTGTGGCAGCCAGGACACCGGCATCATCACCATCGCTGGGCCAGGACCTTAACAATATGTACACACGCCCCACGCCAGCCCACGTCTGTCTGTCATGAGGTTTTGTCAACAATAAGTTTTTATGCCGGAAGACTCGTAGTTGTTTATGGCAGTCCCCCATCAGCTGCAGCATCCCGGGGCATCCTCGGCCGCATCATCATCATCAGCATCAGCATCACTCGCAGCGGGTTCTTGTGTGCACGGCGGAAAAAAGGATAAATATTTGGCCCAGTTCATATAGACATATCAATTTGGTTACTCCACTCTTTTGCTGATTTATTCACGATAAATCTGTTGATTATTATTTTGAGCACAAAATTAATTAAAAATGACTTGCATTCTCTAAAGTGAGATACTTTATGTTCTGCAAGTAACTTAATATTTTGCTTGGATTTGGATTAACCCTCGACGATACGAAGAAAAAATATACAACAATTATTTAATTGCTTGAAATGTAATGTCTTAACATCAGTAAACGTGTATTAAATTAATTTTAATGATTGAAATATACCTAGTTAAGCTCTATTAACTTTGTTCTTTACGTGTAAGATTTTGCAAACATTCAAGTGTGAGTCCTGTCCCTATATCATGTGAATATAACTTTAAGCTGTGACATGAACGCAGCTCGGACGTGCTTCACTTTGACTGACTGACTGAGTGACTGACTGGTGAGGTGGGAAAGGAATGGAGCCACTAAGGGTTAGTCGCTTTCCATTTAGCTGAGCTGCAAATAAAACGACAGCTACAAAAACTTGGTCAGTTGGACAAACTGCAGTTCCTGTCTTCGGTCTGAGGGCTTTTCCAAGTTCCCTGACCCGTGAAGCCCGGTTTTCATGTCTGACAAATGACGCAGAGGCAAAGGCAGAGGCAAAACGGCAGACGAAACGAAACACAGCCATCAATCAGTGGGCCAAGTTATGACGTCCGCACGTTTTATTCGCATTTTTATTAAGGCGCACAAATATCCGGATTTGTCCTTGGCTTGCGTCACTTGTCAGCGCCAGTTGGAGTCTGCTTCGATCAAATCTTTTGGGTGGGAGAGTGGAAGAGTGGAGGACTGGGAACTGGGAGCCTTCTTGCCCATATATATTTATTGTCAGCCATGTCACACTTCATAAATATTTCATAAATTGCTTCGCATTTATTTTGACAGTCGCGCCAAAGTTTCGACTGCCATTTGTTAACCCTTTCAGCTGCCGCTGTTGCTATTTTTTCTTGGCCCGGTTATTGTTATTTCTGTTATCATGCGAGGCAGTCATTGCCAGCTGTCGCACATATTGTCCTTGGAGGGGTGGTTGAGGTGACACCTAACCACCCACTTCCCGATTCCCTATGCCATATTGCCGAAAGTAAAATCTGCACACTGGTATTCATGAAGCAGGACTCATTCTCGCACTTTTGACTGCTTTCAAACTTCGGTTCCATTTCCCAGGACCTGCTGCTCTTCGACTTATTCTTGTACGTTTTTTAGCTTTTAGCATACCTGTCAGCACAAAATAAAATGGAAACTAGTTGCCAGAGCAAACTTTCGCCTTCGCCTGTGTTGACACATATTTCTGGGCAAAAAGCTGGCTAAATATGCATATGCCTGCCACGCCCCCTGCGGCATTCAGACAGACAACGCCCCAATGCACTTGAGCTGCCTGCCACATTACTTTGGCCGTCAGTCCCCGAATTTTTTTTGTGTCTTGATTCTTGGTGGCCTCTTTTCTGGCTGCACTTTAAGTTGTGCCCCTCTTGGTGAGCTCCTCACTCTTCGAAAGGATCCCAGAGAGTCCTGGCAACTGCTTAACGACCAAATTGGCAGCACCTGGCCAAAAGTGTTGGTTGACTGTCCTGGCAGATAAGTAGTCGTCCGGGGCTTTTTCCTTCGCCTTTCTTTTCTTTTCCACATTTTTTTTCGGGCTGTGTGTTTTGACTTTCAACGAGGAGCGAAATTATTTTCGCTGTTGCAAGTTTGTTGCAACTTTTCCCTGACGCAAAGTGAAAATTTGTCATGCTCGTTGGGCAACTTAAGTTCCCCTCGCCCCACATCCCGTTTATATAATAAATTCTTTCAGTTAGGCAAAAATGCTCCACAAAGACAAACACAAACATAAATACAGACTTAGCAGACGACAGACTCGTCTAAGGAAACTTTTAACTCACTTGCCAAATATTTTAGCAATTTTTGAATAAAACATTGCCAAGATTCCGGGCATCTTCAGCCAGTCGACAAAAAACCCCTTTATCTCGCCCTGCCATGTACGCAATCCCACTTTCAGCCACCTGTTCAGTGTTTTAAAAGTGAGTTTCATAGGGGTCCCAACTTAATTAGTTGGGATTCCAGGCGCTGGAGAATTCCTATCTTTTACATGTGTACTGTATATATATTGCGTCGCTCAGGACACTTTCTTACCTTTCGATTGAGTGCTGGAAAGGGCCAAGTCACGTCCACTAGCAGTCCTCGATCTGCTGACTAATGCAATGTCTCTGCAAATATATAGAGAGGGAAGGCAAATTAGTTTCATATTACTTATTATAATGTCATGTTTCGGTCTCGTTACAGACATGTTTTTCAACCACAAAATTATAGCGTTGCTGGAATTGGTACATACTTTATTCATAAACCCCTGGGAGGGCCTCAAATGTTAATGGATATTACGCATTAAATAAATAACACGGCGAATAGTATATGAATGGAGAAATGAGTTACATAATCTAGTCAAAATCTGATAAGAATGGGGCTTCTAACATTTCTTTATGGAGAACCATTCGTAAAGGGTACAAAAATGTCAATTAAACATGATACACTTGGATTTTACATTAAGGGAAAATGATTTAAAATTTTAAATATATTAACTTTTATTTAAGCCTTGAGTTAATCCCTTCTTTTGAAAAAATATATGTTTATTTGAAATTGATTTTAAGATACGTATAGCCTTTGCTTTTCATTATAGAATGGTATAATGTGTTTATACATTTTTTTTAGAAATGGATTTGTATGCTTCTTTCTTTTTAAATTAGCTATATTAAAAAGGGGTCCCGACTCCACCTTTTCAGCGTTATCCATTGTACTTTTTATGGCCCTTGCAATGCTTAGTTTTTATACAACTTTATAGGCTTCAAAGATCAAAGGCTTGGCCCAGGCAAATCTAATTGCGTTAATTTTCGAGTAATTGTGGTCCGACTAAGTTGACTTCCAGCCAGGACATGCGATAACGTAAACAGCAGAAAAGGCCGGGAACAAAGGGAAAAACTATTAACACGAAGGGGGGCACTGTGGGTGGGGGGGTGGTGCACATGTGTGTGTGGAATGCGTGGAGGGATGTGGGGTGAGGGTCAGGGGTCAGGGGTTCACAGGTCGTGGGCGTGGATGGCGCGTTATTCAAATAGTTTTGGTCGCCTGGCGTTGCGGAGACGATAACGACGATGACGACAGTCCAAGGCAATTCCCCGTCGGTGGGTGGGGCCACGCCCACATGTGTATGAAAATGGAAAACGAAATAATTGCATTGGCTACGCCTAAAGAAGAGGCACAAAAAAAAAAAACGCTGGAACTTGTGCCCCCCATTTTCCCGCTTTTCCACAGTGTGTGTTTGTTTACTGCAATCATAATCGCCTCCAACATTCGTTGACCATTTGTGTGGTGGTTTTCCTTGTTTTTTACTCATTGCCTTTAATTATGCCCGCATTTCTGGTTCGCCATACACTTTTTGTGTTATTTGAATATTTAAAAAGATTTATGTCATTCATGCCGCCGATGCCTTCTGATGATTAAGCATTGAATAATTGCTGACGGAGGCGGAATCCACTGGAATAGGAAGTGCGGGGGCACTGCCTTTGTGGCAAACCGAACAATTGTCTGGGCTTCGAGGAGGAGTGGGCGGATATCGGGGCATCTAAATTTGATTGTCGGTGGAATGTCAAACAAGTTCAAACGGCGGCTGCCACTGGCAACCGACCGAAGCCAAATGAAACCCCAGAAAGCATTTCAACGATTGCGGGAAAAATCAGGAAAATGCCATACCCCAGGGGGAGAGCATATGGAAAATTGGATTCAATGACATTGATTGTTCAATTGGGCGAGCTTTTCGGGCAGGTGAGCGAGGTGCACAAACATGTTTAGGCGGTAATGCGATACAGGAACATAAAAGCGATCCAATTTGTTTAGATCATTAGAGGTCCTCGGGGGTTTCAGTTTGTAATGCCAAAGTTTTCGGATTTATTTCTATTGCCTGTAGTTTATTTGTACTTAGTTTTATAAACTATAAGATTTACAGCTAAAGGAATAGAAAAACGAGAGGGGTTTGGCGTTACTGGTTAGGTTTTAAAATTAAATGTTTCTTAAATACCTAAAGTTTTTATGATCTAAGAAAGTTGAATCATAAACGTACAATGGAAAACTTATTTATTTTCAAGCTTTTAGAACATAATAGAAACCAGTAACATTACAAAAGTTTAGTATTAGTTTGCAAATGACCTCCCATAAACTGCATTTTAAGACTAATTTAACTAAAACCCTTTTCCAGATAACTTGATAACCAACTGGCACAAGAACATCTTCTTGATTTGATTAAAATCAATTTACCAAGTCATTGCTTTACTTAAATTTCCCATTCCGCCCCGCTTTTTATTTACCCACATGCCATGTGAACAATTTGCATGTGGATAATCTTCGAGAGTCGCTTTCGAAAATTGCTGCAGCGTTTCCATTTCATGTGTGAGGCAATAAAAATTTAATATAATTACGCACAATTTCCAGTTGAAGTTTATGGCACAGACATGTCGAAAGGATGGGGTGAAGGGGAGGGGAGGGGAGTGGGTGGTAACGAGGGAATCACAGGAATCGCAGGACTCGACGTGACTTTTGACAGCACTGGGGCTGAGGTCCTGGCAGTTCGCTTGCTAGGGACTTTATGAGCCGCCGCCTCTCCAAGACAAACATAAACACTTGTGCTTCAAAAGGACCTATGGGCAGGGGGCGTGGGCGGGGGCGTGGCAGGACTGCAGCTGATTTCATAAAGTGTAACAAGCCAAAGCTTTGAGCTCAACTGCTGCGACAAATAAGCGACAGCGGAGCCCCAAGCTCCGCGGAGGAGAAAAGTTTGCGCGTACCAAAGGATCTCTGCGTGTGTGTGTGTTGTGGCAGCCTCCACACACACATACACTCACACACACACAGTCTCATAAACAGGACACGAAGGAGACACCGCTGCCAGTGCCTGCGAGTTAAATATTTGCTCCGCTTGTTTACATCCAAGACCCCAGAAGCAAAGTTGCCACACGACTCCCGATTCTGCGGCCCCGCCCTTGTCTTCCTTTCCCCGACTCCTCCGAGTCCTCCAGTCCTCATTTGCCCTTGGCAAGTTGTTATTTCTTAATATTGAGAACTGCGGATGATAGGCGGCATGATAGGGAGTAGCAAGTGGAACAACCAGCAGGAGGTTAAAAGCGGCACACTTAACATGCGGCAGGAGTTCCCCCAAAAAACATCAATTGTTTCATTTTTATGGACAAAAAAAAGGTTTAGTACCTAGGCAATATGTCCTCTTAAGGCTCTTGAAAAATAAACCGATTTGTAAGAGCATATATTAACTTATTTCACGTCAAAAACATTCATACTGTTTTTTTAATTTTAAATTAAATTTTTTTTAATCAACATTAAACAATTTTATATATTATTCCCATTTTTTTCACCTCAAATATGATTATATTTAATGAAATTGGTTTAAAACTAAATCAGTGAGTATGTATTATTGGTTTAAACTGCGTTGATACATTTACTTATTTTTATATGGTACTTTAAGGTACTAAAATATCTTTAATATTTTCCTTACGAAATTCAAAACTCTCCAATTTGAGCAGAAACTCCTCCATGTAACGCCCCTACTCTTGAAAAAAAAAACAACACCCACTCCTGCTAATGTAATTGGGTAATAAAGCTGCTGGCCGAGTGTTGAGCAGCACCTGCCGTTACCGTTGCTGTTACCAACTATATAAACATTAGTGACAAAAATTAATTAGGCTGACACAACAGCGAAAAGCGTTAGCAACAGGACGAATAACACACTTTTCTGCCCGGGCTGACGTTCGACTTAGCCATGGCCATGCTAAATGGTCATAATCAACTTCCGTTATGTCCGCACCCACTGCCACGCCTCCCCGCCCACAAGAAACCACGCCTCCCCCGCCTCCACTTCGCCAAACGAAATGCGCTCATTTACAACAAATAAACAGGGATATAAAAACCATGAAACTGATTTTTCACGCCATTTTCATTTACATTTTTGCGGTTATTTTTTTGGGCCATTCTCGCTTGTTTGTTCTGCCCTGCCTTGACGCCGACTGCGCTGCAACTGCGCAGCGGCAGCGAACGCATGTGTAATTAAAATATAATAATTTCCCCGAATACCGCAACAAGCAAATAAACAAACAAAAGAACGAAACCAAACGAAAGCAAGAGCACAAGGCAGCGAAAGCGAAAACAAAGGAAACCAGAGCACACGAAAAAAACGCAGAAAATCGGGAACATTTTGGGCGGAAAACCGAAGTTGGATAGTCCCTTTAAAAACGGGAGTATAATATATTTTTAAATTATTTGCCCTTAAAATAGTTTTAATTTCTTATCAATTTGCAGCGTAAATTTAAAACTAATTTATTCAGAATACCTAAAATTATAGACATGTATAAAAAATGTATAATTTCGAAGGACTCTTATATATTAAAATATATTTATATCTAAGATAAAATTAAATAAATATGCAACAATTCGATACTATGTATAAACCAATCTTAAATCCAAACCAAAAAAGAATTATGTTAAAAATACTCTATGTTCCGTCCCACATACTACTAAAGTGCACTTAAACACCCACAGCTAGAGTATAACAATTGTAGACCCAGTATTTATGACGAAAGTTTCGAGTGGGCTGGGGAGAAAGTGGGGCCAGATTGTCTTTCTCGGCGGAGTGGGTGGTGAAAGTGGATGGCGGTTGTGGGTGAAGGACAGGGCCATCTGCCAATGATTATGATGATGGCAATCCTGCACGCACAAAAACCTGCACAGGTGAGCTCTACGTTCTCCCCCAGTCCTTCGCCTTTTGCCGTGAATCATCTTCCCATTCCACAACGAGATTTCTCCTTGTTTTGTGCACATTTGTTACGCTCAATAAATGAAAATGTTCATATAAATATTTCATATTTCTTTCGGTGGATGGCGGGGCACTTCAGCATGTGCCACGCCCACGCAAAACAGTTTCCGCCCATTAAATTGACATACGGGCATTCGTATTCATTTCCCTTTTCTTTTATACATCGCGTTATCCCTCGGCATTTCTTCACTTTTTATTGCTTCGCCTGTTTGCACAAGTTTTGTAATATTTTCGGTTTATGTTTACAGTTGGCAAACGCATTAAAATCACAGATTTACATTTTTTCTCCTTCGTTTTCCGGCTTGAATAATTTAGTGTCGTCGTCGTTGTTGTTGTGGA